TTGTAAGCAAGTAGTTTTTAAGTGAGGTGAAACATGGGGTATGCAAGACAAATCAGACTCCTGAAAGGGATACAGTAGTCTGGAATGGTTGAGAACCACTGGTTTACTCCTTTAGCTCAAGTGGCAGAGATCTAAAGGCTCTAACCCTGCTGATGAATCATTTGGATGTCAATACAATGCCACAGGATCGAATTTTAATTTTCAGTTTGCATTTTTAAAAACCTAGGAAATCACAAACAAAAAACTATTAAAAATGAATGAGACAGTTTTAATTATGTAATTTTCTAACTTTTGAGGATTTATTTTGCAACCTTAATGTTCTTTTAGTGTAGCTCTTACTGTATAATACAAATAGCTCAAATTGGGGTTAAAAAGGGTTGTCGTCTTTGCATTCAAAAATGAGTCAAATGACATGCAAGTGAGGTTGGTTGAAGAGTTGACCAGAGATTTGTATACATGAGGCTACAGTATATGTAACTTCTCAAGCTAGTTAACTAGATCAACATTATCTAAGGTAACATATGTCTCTCTAAGACCTGCTGATAACTGGAGTTCTGTTATATTGTACATGTATTTGTCTTTTGTTACTTTTGGATACATCTGTGTACCATCAACTTTCTAGAGGCATCTCCTTTCTACAGTTAAAAATGTAATATTTAGAAAATTGTGAGGCTGTATATTTAAAGCTGTAAGGATATTCTGATACCTTTGAGAGAGAAATTTATTAGTAATCCCTTAAAATGTTAAACCATTGTTTTCTAATATTAAAAGAATTTAATATTTGAAGTGTTACTGAAATGCCTTTTCTTACAGTATAAATGTGCAGAAATGTATTTAAAATATATCATGCATAATTTTGAAATCTTCTTGTTCTATTTGATCATTCTTTTAAATGGTTTAAAATTTTTGCTGTTTGTTGTATTTTTGCGCTTAAATTTAGTTGGAATATCAAGTTTTGATATACAGTAAGTCTTAATTTTGTTCTGCTATTATGCAGATCAGTATTTTAATGGATGTTGCCTGTAGTTCATATTATTTACTGCTTGGTGGTGGAACAGTATTTTAAATTATGTGCCTTTAAAAATTATTTAACTCCATTTTAGCACAGAATGGGGTTCCTAAATTGTCTTAGCACTTATCTACAAATGTTGTTCCTTTGATTTAATTAAATCAATTCCTAAACTGATATAATTAAACCTGAGTAACCCATCAAGAGTTCTGTCAACATAAAGGTGTTTATACATGTATATTTTATTTTATTACAGACACCTTTATACTAGGCCTTTTCGATTAATCACAGTTAACTCACGCGATTAACTCAAAAAATTAATCACAGTCGCACTGTTAAGCAGTAGAATACCAACTGAATTTTATTAGATATTTTTGGATATTTTTCTGCATTTTCAAATATATTGATTTCTATTACAACAGAGAATAGAAAGTGTACAGTGTTCAGTTTATATTATTTTTATTACAAATATTTGCACTATAAAAATGATAAAAGAAATAGTATTTTTAAATTCACCTCATACAAGTACTGTAGTGTAATCTCTTTATCACGAAAGTCTGTAGATGTTGATTTTTTTGTTACATAACTGCACTCAAAAACAAACAATGTAAAACTTTAGAGCCTACAAGTCCACTCAGTCCTACATCTTGTTCAGCCAATCTCTAAGACAAACAAGTTTGTTTACATTTCCGGGAGATACTACTACTTATTTACAATGTCATCTGAAAGTGAGAACAGGCGTTCACATGGCACTTTTGTAGTCAGCGTTGCAAGGTATTTACATGCCAGATATGCTAAACATTCGTATGTCCCTTCATGCTTCGGCTGCCATTTCAGAAGACATGCTTCCATGCTGATGATGCTCGTTAAAATAAAATGAGTTAATTAAATTTGTGTCTGAATTCCTTGGGGGGGGGAGGAGGAATTGTATGTTTCCTGTTCTGTTTAACTGCATTCTGCCATATAGTTCATATTATAGCAGTCTCGGATGATGACCCAGCACATGTTCGTTTTAAGAACACTTTCACAGCAGATTTGATAAAGCACAAAGAAGGTAGCAATGTGAGATTTCTAAAAACAGCTACAGCACTCAACACAAGGTTTAAGAATCTGACGTGCCATCCAAAATCTGAGAGGGACGTGGTGTGGAGTATGCTTGCAGAAGTCTTATAAGAGCAACACTCCAATACGGAAACTACAGAACCCGAACCATCAAAAAGAGAATCAACCTTCTGGCATCTGACTCAGATGATGAAAATGTACATGCGTCAGTCTGCTCTGTTTTGGATCGTTATCAAGCAGAACTCATCATCAGCATGCCCTCTGGAATGGTGGTTGAAGCATGAAGGGACATATGAATCTTTAGCCCATCTGGCACGTAAATATCTTGCGACACTGGCTACAACAGTGTCATGTGAACGCCCCTTCTCACTTTCTGGTGACATTGTAAACAAGACACGGGCAGCATTATCTCCTGCAAATTGTAATCAAACTTGTTTGAGTGATTGGCTGAAGTAGGACTGAGTGGACTTGTAGGCTCTAAAGTTTTACATCGTTTTATTTTTGAATGCAGTTATTTTCTTGTATATAATTCTACATTTGTAAGTTCAACTTTCATGTTATAGATTGCACTACAGTACTTGTATTAGGTGAATTGAAACATACTATTTTTTGTTTTTTACAGTGTAAATAATTGTAATAAAAATAAATATAAAGTGAGCACTGTACACTTTGTATTCTGTTATAATTGAAATCAATATATTTGAAAATGTAGAAAACATCTAAAGTTTTAAATAAATGGTATTCTATTATTGTTTAATAGCACGATTAATCAAGATTAATTTTTTTATCACATGATTAATCATGATTAATTTTTTTAATCGCTTGACAGCCCTACTTTATAGTGGTAGAACTGAATCCACACGAGGGAGTTGCACCAATTTAACTAAGTCAATTTTTCTTCCAGTTTCATTAAATCAGTGCAGAACATGTATTCCAGACCTTACTATTTTTCTTTCGGAAGTACACAGAAACTACATTAGTTGTTCACTTTGCCAGTTGTTTCCCTTCAGTTACCCTTTATGCTGTAGATAACATATGATGTGTCGTGGTGTGGATCTAATGCCAACTGAAGTCAGTTGAAGTCTTTCCATTCACTCCAGTGGGCTTTGGAGCAGGCCCTTCCTGATCCTGGGAAGTTAGTGACAATCAGGGACGGCTCTAGGCACCAGCAAAGCAAGCAGGTGCTTGGGGCGGCAAATTTGCAGGGGCGCAAGAATCCAGCATGAGAGCTGAGAACCAACAGGGAGCCCTGGGAGCTGTAGTTCCTTGGTTAGCTCCCTGCCTATAGAGCCAGCCCTGGAGCAGGGAAAGAACTAAATTTCCCAGCATTTCCTCGGCCGCAATTAACAGGAAAGGGAGGGGGAAGGAGTGTAGAACTGAAACCTCATGCTGCAGCTTGCTGTAAATGGTAGGGACAGAGCCAGCTCTAGGTTTTTTGCCGCCCCCCACCTCAGCCCTGGGCTCCCCCCGCACCTCTGTGTTGCCCCAGCCCTGGACTCTCCCCTGCCCACACCTCCTGCTGCCCCAGCTCGGGCCCCCACCTGCACCCCCCTGCTGCCCCAGCCCTGGGCTCTCCCCCCACCCGCACCCCCTGCCACCCCAGCCCTGGCCTCCACCCGCACCCCCTGCCGCCCCAGCCCTGGGCTCTCCCCCCACCCGCACCTCCTGCCGCCCCAGCCCTGGGCTCTTCCCCCACCCGCATCTCCTGCCACCCCAGCCCTGGGCTCTTCTCCCCCCCCCTGCACCCGCACTCCCTGCTGCCCCAGCTCTGGCCCCCACCTGCCCCCCCGGCGCCCCAGCCCCTGGGCTCTCCCCCAAAGAAAGAATTGGGTGGACTAAATGGACATTACATCTCTCTATCTGAAGCCTAGCAAGCCAGGTACGTGGATCCCACTAGAATTTAAAATGAAAAGTAAGGGAGGGGAGGCTCTACTAGACTGGGCAGCTTTAGATACAGTACCAGGCACGTAGGAGGATTTACACTTCTGAGCCATGGAAGCAGAAATTGACTTTTCTTTTCCAGATTTAGCTAATATTCAGAAAGGGAATCCAGCACCTGCCTTCCAGATTTGAACACCCTCAAAATTCAGGAGTGCTCAAGCTCAATTTGGGCAGCTGTTACTTCATTTCTCTCAAATCAAATATACTGATCCACTGTAACTTGCTGTAGAAAAAGTAGAATAAATTGAGCAAGAAATGCTTCCCAGTGGTTATTAGGACTGGAATTGCTATTTTCAACAGCCATTGCTTTTTTTAAATTTATTGTTATTATTATTATTATTTTTAAGTTTTAGTTTTATTTGTTTAAAAGGAAGACAGTGATATTGCATTGGCAAATTCCCCATAGAAACAAAGAATGGAACAAAAGAATAATAAAGGCACCTCAACTTTTCCTCATTTATGTAGGACAGTCTTATAATATGCATCCAGATAGCCTTCAATCACACAAGCTGAAAATTGTTCCACTTTACTGCAGTTCTGTAACCATATGGGAACCAATCCTGTCTGTGTTCTGTCCACATCCAAAATTCCTGCTGAATGACCCGCCTTGGGAGCGAGTTACCAGTGACCCAGGGCTGGGGCTGCAGGAGGGTGCAGTGTGTGTGTGTGGGGGGGGGGGGGGGGGGGGCGCCCACTTTTTTTTTGCTTGGGGCAGCAAAAAACCTAGGGTCGGCCCTGGTGACAATAGATGTTGTGAGCACTCAGTACCTACAAACACAGGGCTCCAAACTGTATGGTGGCATGCTCTATGTATTGTAAGATAACATCTTTATGTACTTAAGAGTCTATTGTTTAAAGATATCACCTTTTATTGTTAAATGTTTTTAACATCTAAATCCATTTAAATATGACTGTTTCCTCAATTTGTCTTGTTTGTGTTTTTCTACTTTGTATCACTTTCTTGACCTTTTTTATTGATGATTTTTAGCCAACAGAAGCTGTTCCTCCCTCTTCTCCCATTCTCCCTGTGATCCCTGTCTCGCCAGTCCCTGCTGAGACCACTGTCATCCCATCCTCTACATCGCAGGTTTTTATTGTCTTTTTTTTCACATTTTTTATTTATTTTTATAGCTGTTCTTTTAAATAACATTTTCCCATTGTTGCAGTCAGGTTTGTTCCATGAATTATAAAGTGAATAAATTATTAATCCATATACAGTGTAAAGGAAGTACAGCAGTTGTGCTTAAAGTTGTAAATGTAGGAACACCTTTCTTTTTAAAATCTGTTATTCTGTAACTCTATGAGAGTGCCCTTTCTGAGGTATCCTTTAGACGATTCAAGATTAAGGTTAAGGATGTGCATAAGTGTTTGTCGGATCAGAACATTACTGTTTCTAGAAATCCCTGTTCCAAAGTGTCAGCTTGTCTGGGGTTACCATTGTAACTTAATTTGTGTTCTCTGGCTTACAGGTTAGTTAGGCTTTATATCCTAAAGCAGCAAAGGAGGCTGAAATATTTCAAAGATACTATTGATGGTGTTTATCATGGAAGTAAATTCATTGGAAATAAAATTTAGTATCACAAAATGATCATTGTGTTTAAAATCATATGCAGCACTATAGAAGTGTGTAAGAAATGTTTGAAGATTGTTGGATGTGGGAGTGACCCTACAGAGTTTGCATAATCAATTGTTTCAGTGCAAGTTACATGTAGAATTAAATACTCTGACAATAACTTCTAAAAAGTTCTCAACATATTAAGTGATACTGCAGTCTAATGGAAAATTTACACCATTGAAGATAAGTGGGAACTTCTAATTCTGAGAAAAATAGAAAAAGGGTAAAATACCTATAATTGAATAATATTTCTGGGCTTTGAAAAACATGTGGCTTTCAATCAACTTAACTATAAATCAGTTAAGTTACTATGAAATACTAAGGACTAGATAGGCGACATTATTCTAAGAAAAAGATGAGATGAGATCCTAGAATAATAGAATATCAGGGATGGAAGGGACCTCAGGAGGTCATCTAGTCCAACCCCCTGCTCAAAGCAGATGAGATGGCAGGCAAAACAGGAGACTAAGCTGAGCTACTTTCTGAATTTCTTATTGTATTGTCTGCAACTTTATCTTCTACTCAGTCTCTGGTCCCAATAGAAATAATAATTAAATATTAAATTATTCATATACTACTAGGATTAGAGCTGATCAGCTAATCAGAGTAAACTTTTTTCTACTCAGTGGAGAAATCAAATATATAAATACTGTAATGTTTTGAATAAGTAGATAACTATCCAGTCCTTTCAGTATTCTAATGATGTAATGGTTTTTCTGACAGGAGCAGAGGTTCAGTAGAGGAAGTAATTATATGTACAGTAAGGAATCTGGAAAGTAGAATGGCCTGGCTTGCCATTCTACTTATGTGGTCTTTAATTTGTGGTTTTTTAAGGGTGGAAGGAGTGTGTTCTACAGACTCTAATTTCCTTTATTTTAATACACTTCCTTTTAAGAATCCCAGCAGGAATGCCACTATCTTTCCACAGAAATATGAATTCGGAGCTTGAGTTCAGACTACCACTGAAGGGACACCTTGCAAGCTACTGGTGGAGAGTTCTGGTGCTGAGGCTGTTGGGCTTTTTTCTAGATACCTGTGATCGCTATTGGTTTATTTCCCTCACTGGCTAGCTAAATTCTCATAGTCCACCAAGACTAAATATAAGCCACACCCCTGGCTAAGGCTGAAATGGAAGCATCTTAAATGGAGTGCAGGTTCTCATGCTTCTCATTTGCCATGCATACTACATCCTGAATTAGGCGAATGGAGTTGTTGCTGCAGAGAGACATGGATGTGGGCCAACACTGCTCCCCCATTTTTCCTGGGTAAGATGTGTTGGCAGCTAACCACTTTTCCCATCAAACCTGTTTCCTATCCTTGCTGCATCTTCACCACTAGCCAATATTATAGTTAATTGTTACCAGTAGTGCACTGTGCTGAGCTGGATAGCTTCAGATGACCCATGCAGAGACAGAGTCCATGCCAGTGTTCCAGCCTCAGTCTGTCACTGTTGTCAGTGCTACTCTTTAGTACATTGTCAGTCTTTTCTGAATTAGGAGGCAAAAGAGTAAAATTGAGAACTAAGCCATTGTTTCTGTCAGTGCAGTGTGATGACGTGGCTCACTCCTCTTTACATTTTATTTTATTAAGCTAGTATTTTGTCTCTAAGGTATTGCTTACATTTTCATAGTGTGTTTTGTGAAAGAGTCAGAAGAATAAGTATTAGAAGAACTAACAAGTATGGAAGGGCTAGAAAAACTAGGATTCTCTCTCACATATCCCCACACTCCCTCTTTCCCATGCCCGTCAAAAAAGCCACTGTTGATTTTAGATCTATTATACTTATAAATAAATTAAATAAATTATTGGAGATATCCTATCTCCTAGAACTGGAAGGGACCTTGAAAGGTCATCGAGTCCAGCCCCCTGCCTTCACTAGCAGGACCAAGTACTGATTTTGCCCCAGATCCCTAAGTGGCCCCCTCACAACCCTGGGTTTAGCAGGCCAATGCTCAAACCACTGAGCTATCCCTCCCCCCATCTGCTCTATCATGTACACATAACCAATAATACAGTTATTACAGCTCTAGTACAGTTTTTCTCCAGTCCCACCACATTATTTTCAGGCCTATAAAACCAACACTCTTTCTGGATCTTCATCAGTCAAATTCAACAGAGGGTCCTGTGGCACCTTTGAGACTAACAGAAGTATTGGGAGCATAAGCTTTCGTGGGTAAGAACCTCACTTCTTCAGATGCAAGTAATGGAAATCTCTAGAGGCAGGTATAAATCAGTGTGGAGATAACGAGGTTAGTTCAATCAGGGAGGGTGAGGTGCTCTGCTAGCAGTTGAGGTGTGAACACCAAGGGAGGAGAAACTGCTTCTGTAGTTGGATAGCCATTCACAGTCTTTGTTTAATCCTGATCTGATGGTGTCAAATTTGCAAATGAACTGGAGCTCAGCAGTTTCTCTTTGGAGTCTGGTCCTGAAGTTTTTTTGCTGTAAGATGGCTACCTTTACATCTGCTATTGTGTGGCCAGGGAGGTTGAAGTGTTCTCCTACAGGTTTTTGTATATTGCCATTCCTGATATCTGACTTGTGTCCATTTATCCTCTTGCGTAGTGACTGTCCAGTTTGGCCAATGTACATAGCAGAGGGGCATTGCTGGCATATGATGGCATATATAACATTGGTGGACGTGCAGGTGAATGAGCCGGTGATGTTGTAGCTGATCTGGTTAGGTCCTGTGATGGTGTTGCTGGTGTAGATATGTGGGCAGAGTTGGCATCGAGGTTTGTTGCATGGGTTGGTTCCTGAGTTAGAGTTGTTATGGTGCGGTGCGTGGTTGCTGGTGAGAATATGCTTAAGGTTGGCGGGTTGTCTGTGGGCGAGGACTGGCCTGCCTCCCAAGGTCTGTGAAAGTGAGGGATCATTGTCCAGGATGGGTTGTAGATCACTGATGATGCGTTGGAGAGGTTTAAGCTGAGGACTGTAGGTGATGGCCAGTGGAGTTCTGTTGGTTTCTCTTCTGGGCCTGTCTTGTAGCAGGAGGCTTCTGGGTACACGTCTGGCTCTGTTGATTTGTTTCTTTATTTCCTTGTGTGGGTATCGTAGTTTTGCGAATGCTTGGTGAAGATCTTGTAGGTGTTGGTCTCTGTCTGAGGGGTTGGAGCAGATGCGATTGTACCTCAGTGCTTGGCTGTAGACGATGGATCGTGTGGTGTGACCGGGGTGGAAGCTGGAGGCATGAAGGTAGGCATAGCGGTCGGTGGGTTTTCGGTATAGGGTGGTGTTAATGTGGCCATCGCTTATTTGTACGGTGGTGTCTAGGAAGTGGACCTCCCGTGTAGATTGGTCCAGGCTGAGGTTGATGGTGGGGTGGAAGCTGTTGAAATCATGGTGGAATTCTTCCAGGGTCTCTTTCCCATGGGTCCAGATGATGAAGATGTCATCAATATAGCGTAGGTAGAGAAGGGGCATGAGTGGACGAGAGCTGAGGAAGCGTTGTTCCAGGTCAGCCATAAAAATGTTGGCATATTGTGGGGCCATGCGGGTGCCCATAGCGGTGCCACTGGTCTGGAGGTATATATTGTCACCAAATTTGAAATAATTGTGCGTGAGGATAAAGTCACAGAGCTCAGCAATAAGTTGTGCTGTGTCATCATCAGGGATACTGTTCCTGACAGCTTGTATTCCATCTGTGTGTGGGATGTTTGTGTAGAGAGCCTCCACATCCATGGTGGCTAGGATGGTGTTTTCTGGGAGGTCACCAATGCATTGTAGTTTTCTCAGGAAATCTGTGGTGTCACGGTGTCACAATCAGTCAAATTGTATAATTTCAACAGAAGGAAGTAAGCTGTGGTAGGTTGCCAAGTGAATGTGAAGCGGCAAACCTGAAATAAGGGCTTGAATTTCTATCTTGAATGTGTGAACAGTGTCATTTGGTCACAGCCAGCAATGGGGTAATTAGGGCGAAAGAGGGTCTGTATTTCTGTATGCCAAACATGCAAATTTTCCACCATCTGGTGCCCTCTCTTTTTACTATGACTGGGACTTCCTGACTTTCAATACAACTATCTTTTTCAAATCATGAATGTATTATTTTCAGAACACGTTTAAATCTTTATTTGTGGATGATGACTTCATAATCATGTCATATTTGACTTTAAAGGAACAGTGTTAGGTGTTAAACTGTTAAGAATATGGTGGGAATAGTTTCTATAGTGTAAAAAGCCATGTAAAACAAATTAAGAAAAAGAGGGTTAGATGGTTCAAGTTATTTGTAACAGGTGTGAAGATTTTTATATCTAGGTTATCAGTTTAAATCTGGCCCAGGTTAATAGTGATTGAAAGTTATTACCATCTGCTGTGTTGTGGTTTATCTAATTTCTAGTGGACAGGTGTTCACATAAAAATTGGCACCCTTCCCTGCCGTCTCAGCAGAAAGACTAAGTATTAGAAAAACTTGAAAGTTGAACTACTTCTGAACCTTAAAGGTGGTGTTCCTTCCATAAGGCTTGAGGCACCCTGGT